TCCAATGGAAACTATCTTTATTTGTGGCGGTAAATTCGAGATCGAAGTAGGTGGTTCGCACGTTACCTTATGCCACCATGCTGGTGGAAGTAAACAATAGATATCTCATTAGCTCCTTTTGTTCCTCTACCAGCATTTGAATTTCACCCGCACACGTCAACGGTGAGTGACAAATGAGCCTAGGTCTTCCCAGGGAAGACTTCCTAATATAGCGCGCCTTCGTGTTTAAGTACCGAATTCTCTGGGTGGCATTGTGCCAAATGGCGGGAAATGCTAAAGAAATTGAGAGAAAACTTTTGCCTTCCCCCACATTGTCCATCCACTTGAGAGAACGCCAAATTCTTTGGTCCTCTGATTCTCCAAAAATGCTCTTAGAGGAATACTTCAAGGGGCATCGACACCTTAGCGGCAGTTTCTATAATCGAGAGGGACGAGATTGGCTAGATTTTTAAATACCAAGAGGTCTCACTTTCAACTTCCGCAATTAAAAAAGCACCATAAATCTCAGAGAGGATATGCAAGCTCAAACGCCAAAAGTTAAACGTGACTTATGCCTAACATTGTTGATTAGTTAATCCCAATACGTGCATTACTTTTAGCACGGGAAATGATCTTTAGCTATTTTCTGGAATTAAAGAATGCAATTGACTGCCTTTAAACGTATCAATGGCTTAGCACCACAGTATCTTTGCTCTAAGTTCAGTAAAAGAAACGATAAACACAATTACGCAACAAGGAATAAAGAAGATCTTCACATTAATTTAATAAATATCGAACGGGAAGTGGCCAACGTACATTCTTTTAAAGAGCAAATGAGACTTGGAACTCTTTAGACACTTCTTTAAAATCTATTGTAAATATCACTTCTTTTAAAAAGAAGCTCGAGTTAATCTTCAGATACAGAAATTTATTGGTGAATGATAAAATTGAAAGTTGAACGTTGATTGAAAGATGATCGTTCTATATATTTGTGAGTTTTTCGGTTTTTGTAAATTGGCATTGAAAAGCCATTTATTGGAATGTCAATCAAGTTTGTATTATATTGTAAGGTTTGTGAAACGACATTACGAGTGACTCCTCAACCACTCTTTCAACTGATTTCTACAGTGTTCCATTACTTGAACTTTATCTAACATAAGTTATGTCAGGAGAAACGGATCGACCACTATTAGCTTTCTACACGTGGCTCAGACGAACCAATATTACGAATCCTTTCCTCCTTGCAATGTGCCTGATCAAATAAAATCGACACAACACCTCCATATCCTGCGAGGCGAGAGTCACGCTTCGCTTATTCAAACACTTGTTATTTAATGGTGTACTTGCACATGTTCACACATCGTTTTTGCTTCGTATAGTACCTTTTCCAACAAAAACTGAAACACCTCTGTCCTCTTTCAGCGAGCCTTAGAATGATCTATTGATGGACAGCGAGGAGATTGTTTTGTTCGAAATAAGAAACTACGCAAGGAAAGCATCCTGCTGACGTCCACGAAAACAGATTTCACTTTTTGCCCAAAGCTAAAAATAAACTATGCCAAATCGGCATATCCTGGTCGACGCCCCGAGTTTTCCTCTCTCTCCTTCGTAATTTTCTCTTGACCTTGCACAGTGACACCTATCAGTTGTCCAAAATGCCAGTTTGTTCTCCCGATCTAACTTCCATTTCGTAAAATTAAATACATTTATTTTCGCTCAAATAAAAAAAGTTCATGTCTCCTACCTTTGGTTTATTGTGAATTGTTAACTAAGATACTAATTCAATGAGGAGAGGCAAGGAGCACTGAAGAGTTAAACTAAAGGGAGACTGTGGGGAATCTAATTGCCGGCCCCAATTCCCTGCGACACTGAAGACTCGCGTTGTAGAATTAAACGTTTTTAATAATCTTAATATCTCAGCTAGTCCCTACGTGCTTCTGAAAGCCCATCTACTTGTCACATGATTCGAAATTCGATCGTTCAATCACTTAGCAACATGAAAGCAAAAGTAACGATTATTAAAGCTGTAACACAACATGTCACGCAGTCAAAACATTTCTTACAAGACAGAATCACGGCACCCAAAATTGAATTGATTGAGCAATAATCACAAGACTACACTGTATCTGGTGATTTTCATGACAATAAACTTTGCGCGAGAGTCACAAGTTCTAGTTACTATTCATTATTATCTTCTTATGGCGCTCTTGCAAACGAAGCTCGACTGTTGATCTTGGAAACGGCCAAAATATCGCAATAGGAAAAAGTTAATACTTTATACATTGCCAGCAAGGGAAGGAGACATAAGAGAGATTTAGCACCTCGTTCACGTGAAACGGCAAACGTCAGCTTGTTCCTTCACGTTTCCCGCAAAATAGCGTGAACCTTGCTACTTTAACTTTGCGTAAGCTCACGTAATGGTGGATTTGAAGGCGCCCTTGTTTGACTTACAAAGAATGGTTTAGATGCCCCTTTTCCAAAAATTAACTTCTACTCTGTGAGAGGAAAAGTGAAGGAAATCTTACGTACACGGCAAAAGCGAAACAGGTTACTCTCACCTGTAACGACAAAGTGCAACCGGGAAACGTGAAAAAAAGGCGGGAAAAACAAGGTCACGTGGTCACTCTTGCCATTCACGTTTCACGTAAACGTGGTGCTAAATCTCTCTATAAAGTCAGTTTGAACGGAATGTGGAAAAATGTCATACGAGAAAAACACTGCTGATCAACGAAAAATTCTAAAGGAAAAATAAAAACAGAACAAAAACAAGAAAAAAAAAAGAAAACAGCATTACGTATAGTTGTTGTGTATACGTAGCTGCGAAACAATATCACTCAGCCTCGTTTTCAACTCGCAATTCCACGCTAAATATCTCGCTTCGTTAACCAATTAGAATGCAAGATTTTATTCAATGATGCAGTCCGTTTAGATATCGCAGCTCTTGGAATTTGACTTAATGCTTTGTTGATTCGTCTGCGCAATGAAATCTAGTGTTACAATTGTTCCCTATAAACCAAGTGCCTTTTGGACAGAAATATAATGGAGAATATTGACGAAATACAAAATGCCTACACTGCTTTCATTATCTTCACCTCTTAGATAACGTTGGTGAAAAACAAAAAGGAGATTAACAGAAACGACAAGATACACAATATTTCTTTCAAGAAACAAACGATTAGCCATTAAAGGTTTTGCAAAAAGAGCCAAATACTTCTGTCTAGCCCATGCAGGGTATGAAAAGAGGCACTCTCCCCTCCCTGTTAAGGGTGATACCACCAAGACAGGGTTGAAAAAAACGCTATCAAAAAAGCAAAACAAAAGTCTTGAGGAAAACGAATGTTCTGATCAGAGGATCTAAGTGCGAAGGGCAGTCTGGAAAAACATAATTTAAATCCAAACTCGAATTTATTTGCAATTTGAGTTATTCTTTGTACCAGAAGACAGTTATAGACACCCATAGACTTATAGTAAATCAGAAAAGATCTGTTGACCTTAGGCTATTAAAAACCTACAGAGAGCTAAGAAGTAATTTCCTTAACTCCACACAGTAAAGGACCATAGTAGTACAGTCAACCCTGTACTACATTGTAAATGGCACCAGTGGGGTGACCACTTAATGCAGCATCCGCAGATTAGGGGTTTTATAAAAAAAATCATCATTTTATCACATAATTGACCACTTGATAACAAAACCTTGCTCAAAAATACTACTAACATTGATTTCTGGATATTAAGCATGAGTTAAATTTTATTTGAAATATAATTCTTAGTTTTACTTTATGAGTGGTTCAGTGAGTGCTTTAAGTATCCTTTCAAAACAGGAGGAAGACAAAACAAAGAGACCATTGGTACTCAGTTAAGGGTGACATGACCACTTAATGAAGGTGACCGCTTAATAGCCGTGAAAAATACAGTAACTAAGGGAAAACAAATCGCGACTTTGACAACCAACTACTTCAATCAGTAATACAAGGTGACTGCTTAACACGGTGCAGCTTAATACAGGTGGAACTGTAGTAGCAGCCGCAAACTAAAAGTGGGCTTATCATTCATTGAACCAATTGACATAACCCTAAAGAAGTTCGGTGTCAAGAAGGTGAGAATAGCTCACTACATGGAGTTGCCTGGTAGTAATGACAAACTCACCATTGAAACATGGGCCACTGATCCAGTGAAATCCAAGACAAAATCTGAACAATATTGCAATCTTTAGCAATGGTACTAGTGGAGAAGAGAGAACAAAAATCATCATCTGATACATGTTTCATTCTGTATGGCAATCCAGAAAAAATTTTCTGGGTCGTATCCTGAGTTGTGCTATAAAGCCTTGGCCATTATTTTTCTCCTATCTTAAATCCTGTAGTTCCAGAAAGGTATCCATCACACCTAAAGAGAAACAAACTTGTGCAACAGCTCTCTAAATTAGATCAGTCATATTCATTCTTGTCTAATTTGTTAGCTTGAATAATTTTGACATAAATGACAACACTTACTTTCAGTCACCTATCTCTTGTGCAAAGTCCATGACCAATTCAGGAGGTCTTGACATCACAGATCAAGACCTAGGAAGAGATATGTTGGGTGAAACCAACCCCTTTGAGGGTCAGCTTTTGGTCATCCATCTCTTGTACAAAGTCCACTTGTACAAAGTTCAGCGCATAAAGACAGTCCAGCAGGCAAAACAATCAACACACTCACTGCATATCCTTTTCCTTTTTTTTTTGTGCGACCAAGTCTTTGCATCACAGATTAAGACTAAGAAAGAGATATGTTGGGTGAATCTGACTCCTTAGTGGGTCAGCTGTCAGTTACCCATCTCTTGTACAAAGTCCACTCTCTGTTCAGCACATGAAGACAGTCCAGTGGCCAAAACAATTGACACACTTACTGCATTTCCTTTTCCTCTTTTTTGTGGGACCAAGTCTTTGCATCACAGATTAAGACTAAGGAAGAGATCCGTTAGATAAAACTGATTCCTTTGTGGATCAGCTCTCAGTCATTCATCTCTTGCACAAAGTCCACTCTCTGTCCAGCGCATAAAGACAGTCCAGTGGCCAAAACAATCAACACACTCACTGCACATCCTTTTCCTTTTTTTTTTGTGGGACCGAGTCTTTGCATCACAGACTAAGACTAAGGAAGAGACTTTTAGGGTGAAACTGACTCCTTTATGGGTCAGCTATCAGTCATCCATCTCTTGTACAAAGTCCACTCTCTGTTTATCACATAAAGACAGCCCAGTGGCCAAAACAATCAACACACTCACTGCACATCCTTTTCCTTTTTTTTTTGTGGGACCAAGTCTTTGCATAACAGATTAAGACTAAGGAAGAGACTTTTGGGGTGAAACTGACTCCTTTGTAGGTCAGCTATCAGTCATCCATCTCTTGTACAAAGTCCACTCTCTGTTTATCACATAAAGACAGTCCAGTGGCCGAAACAATCAACACACTCACCACATATCCTTTTCATTTTTTTTTCTTTTGGACCAAGTCTTTGCATCACAGATTAAGACTAAGGAAGAGATTTGTTGGGTGAAACTGACTCCTTTGTAGGTCAGCTCTCAATCACCCATCTCTTGTATAAAGTCCACTCTCTGTTCAGTGCCTAAAGACAGTCCAGTGGCCAAAACAAATAACACACTCACTCTATATCTTTTTCCTTTTTTTTTGTGGGACCTAACTCTTTGCATCAGAGACAGTCCAGTGGCCAAAACAATCAACACACGCACTGCACATCCTTTTCCTTTTTTTTGTCCGACCAAGTCTTTGCATCACAGATTAAGACTAGGCAGAGATTTGTTGGGTGAAACTGACTCCATTGCATAGGGCACCTGTCATCTAGGAAAGAAACAATAAGAAATGGTAACCAACACTTAAAAAATTTAAAAAAAAATGTGAAGATAAAAAAAATTTGAAGATTTTAAAAAAAAAAATTTGAGGCATGTTAAGGATTTGCAACTTACTAAACTTAATAGTCAAAAAAGAGGAAAAATGCCCAAACACAAACTGTGCTCACTCTGCAAGCAGTCCTTCATTATTAGGGTTTCAGGATGAGCATTTCTTTGCCCTTGGTAAAGAATAAGGCTTTGAGCAACATGAGACTGCGAGAGGCCTGCAACGGGTCTATCCTCCTTCATTATATTATGAAATTTTAACCCTTTTACTCCCAGAAGTGATTAACCTGTAACTTCTCCCTATAATATCCACACAATATCCAGCACAGGTAATGAGAATACTCAGACTTATCAGGTAGAAGTTGTTAACTCGATCTAACATCAAATTCTGATTATCAATTTACAAGGAGATGTGTAGTAGCTAGAGGGGAGAATTAACAATCAGATCTTGGGAGTTTAAGGGTTATTAATACAGGGCTCGACATTGCGACTCACTGCGGAGGTCGCCAATGTGACCAAAAATCAAGCGTTGGCGACTAGATTTTTAGAGTTAGTCGCCAGTGGGCGACTCACCTTCACCTTTTTCCTCAAAGGTAAATCAACCGTAGTTTTGGATAAAATGTACGATTTACGCGAACAGAAATGACAAAACAAACCCACGACCCTTATGGCATCGCCATGTTTCATAATCGAGCGCCATGTTTCATAATCGAGCGCCATGTTTGATTCAGCAGATGGTATTGCGGGCGCACTAAACAACACGTGCAAGTGAAGTTCTCACGAGGTCTGATCCCTGGTCAGATCATGGATATTTCATCGAATTCTAGGTCAAAAGACGCTTTAAATTCATTGCATACTTTGCAGAATGCAAATAAATTAGAATCGTGCAAGAAATTGATCGATGAATTGAACTTTTTGTTACCTCGTAATGCGTAATGATATGTTTTACGAGCCCTGGCTTCCTTTTAAGTTTTAGTATCTCTTAGAAGCTTACGTGTACGTAAACTTAGGACTATGAAGAAGATTGCATGTGAACATGATCATCTGGAAAATGAAGAAAAAACCATCAGTGAAAAAAATGGCGACTAAAAGTTAAGATCTGGCGACCAAAATTTTTGGATTAGTCGCCAATTGGCGCCTTACTAAAAATGTTAATTTCGAGCACTGCAATAAAAGCCTTCTTGTAAGCTAGAATGTTCCGTGCACAATTGTCAGTCCCCTTTGATTCATTGCGTTCATATCATTCATATTTTTGTCTATTATAAAAGGCCCATTGTAAATAATTTCTATTTACTATGCATTGTAAGTTTTATCGCCATAATGTTGTAAAAAATAAATAAAAAAATATTCAAATAAACAAAATGTACCCTTCACTTCCCCTGAATCTAAACACCTATACCGAGACTTCATCTAAATGACAGTAAATCCGCTCTGAATTCATAAATCCAAAAATGTCTTTAAAATACCTTTAAAAAATACTGGAGTAATCAATGAGGAAAAAAATAAGAATTTTAAAGCACTCTCAGTCTGGTAGAGGGCAATTTTTGAAAGATGTAACCACAGGAAGCCCAGGCTCTATCACAGGCTCTGTCACAGGCTCTTTCACAGTGGATTATTATAGTTGTATAGTGGTTTAGTTGGACTTGCTTTTTAGCTCCGTAAAGATAAAGTTGTGTGAAATGATAAAAGAAATAAAGTCTTGCCTTCATACAGAGTAGTCTGTGCTATTCTTGTCGCGATTTGAGGCCGTTTTGCTGTGTTTCAGCTCAACGTCCTAACACTACCAAGTAAAAGGGAAGGTAAGAAACCTGTGTCTCACACACGCTCGCCAAAATCGCTCGAAAAACACACTCAAATACTTTCCCTTGAATGGAAACTTGGCAACACGAAAGCCAAATAGTTTCCCTTCAAGTTCATCAAAACAAATCCCACAAAAGTTGGGTTGTCGAGCAACCTGCCCAGCGAAAATCTCAAATTGACCGCCATTTCAACGCCGTTAGAATGCGCGTCCGTCAAAACCTGTGCAGTCAAAAGTTCGTTACAACGCGGTCAGCCTGGACACTAGCAAAATTATTCCCAATGGGTAGCCCCACGATATGAATGATTAGTCACAAATAAATACCAACCCACAAGTGGAGGGAATATTTTGCTAAATGGCTGTTTTGCAAAACATTGGCCACGGTGGACAATAGCCTGGGCCGCCTGTGATGTAACGTACCTCTTGGTGACACGTGCTCTTGATTTCTTTCTTTTCCAGCCACTCTTTCCATCCATCTTTGGTCTAAACACCACCAAATTACGGTGAAAACATTTCAAAAGTAAGAGATGCTGAGGTGCTTTCCACTTCCACTTTTGTATCGAAGTAGGCTGTTTTTTCTAAAATATTTCAAATCCTCCGCCACCATATTGGATTCAACCACTGTGTTCCCCAGTTCTCCTCAAGTTATGGAAGAACGCGCGCGTTTCGTGTTGAACATTTGCATAAGTGGGAAAATCGCAGGGCACGCACCAGGTCTTACGGTCTCTGAAGAGAAATGAATTTTCACTCACATTTGCGTCGTATATCTCTACTCGTTAAAAATGACTAAGGCTATGTTTTGTATAAATTTTCAAAAAAAAATAATTAACATTGGAACTGAAAAGGTAAAAAAAAAAAAAAGAAAAAAAAACAACAAGTGCGACTAACAAGTATATTTTAAGCCATGGTGTAAACTGTATCTTAAGTCTTTCTGAACTCGTATTGTGAATTATCCATGTTTCTAACAGACATTTGTCGAAAATGCACGGGAACGTAACTAATTAAAGAAGGAGAGGGTGTGCTTTGTACGTGTGAAATGTAAAAAAAAAAAAAATACGCAGCCACGAATGAAAATCAGACAACTTCTGGCTTGTTCAGTTTCAAAGCGCGCGAGAGGAACACGCGGGGGAACATGCTGACGTCCGATCTCGATCTCAACCTTATCATTGTAACTAGACACGTTTGTTGTTTAGTATGCATAAGACTTTCTTTCTTTCTTTCTCATGTCGTCTTTTTGTGATAGTGCTGGTCTCCCGCGATCCAGCGGCCCTGTAAATAAAGCTTACAGAAGACTGGGGAAGATTAAGACTCGGTAAAGGTTGATCATCTCATGTTGATCGACGTAGAAACTTAACGTGGCAGTGACATAATAAAGTTCAAAAGAGTTGGGAATGGAATAGAGGAGGGGTGTTTCGAAGTTATCTCTGTAGGACAGTATTTACCTATTCACAGCTTTCTAATCCAGACATTGGTTTCATAATCGAGGTTTTTGCCGATTCATCATGGCTATGCTTTGTATATGTGGCTTTGAGCATCATCTGAGGTCATCACTGACCTTTCCTTGATTTGACACGGTGCTAACGTGACCTAACCACGTGACCAAAACAATCTTTAAATAACATTATTACACGACTCGGGAAGTCATAGGGCCAATAAGTAAAATCAACCAATCAAAATGCTCTATTGCCGGTCAATATTCTCTCAGTATTGGACCGGGCACTGTCCCGAATGGTCCCGAATGATACCGCACTTGTGTCCCTTTGAACTTCAGTCGTGTAATAAATCTCTTACTAACCAAGCTTTCTCGGGACCGTACTGGAAGAATATCGGCCCTCGGTCTTTTTTGTACGGCCCTCGCGCTTGGTTAATACTAATATCAGACCAAAGAGATTTTACAAAACGAGGGTAAGTTCCGCGCTCAAATTCTCGAAACCAGTTCACAAGCAAATATGTAGCAGCTTGAGGGGTGAATTAACGATTAGATCTTAGGCGTTAAAGGTTAACGTTTTGCCCTTTCAACCCAGCATCCTTCGTTCCTCCCTACCTGACCTAAAATGAAAAGAACTCCATTGCATATTGGCAATTTTTATTCATCGTATTTCACTTATTGGAACCACTCACGGCTCCACTTTGCACAACCTTCAAGCGTCTAAAAACAAAAATCATTACTGTATACACCTTGTAAAGTTTTAAAAAGAAAACAAGAAAGTCGTGAAACATGAGTTGATGAATTAAAGGCGAATCAAGTAGCATTAATTATTTATCTTAGTTGCGTTTTACTTCATTTACGCTCGTCTGAGGTTAGCTAATTTGTAATTCCTTGTCACTTATCATGACAAAGTTAAGTACCTGGATAATGAGGAATTTGACTCCAAAGCGGAAAGTGAAATTATGCAATACGCATGGATGAGTGTAAGGTGGAGTTCGAGAATCTACGGAAAATTATCATCGATTTTCATGCAAATCATAACAAATCTAAAGTTATCACCAGAAAATCTAACTTATTTCATACATTTAGATGAAGGATCAATCACAAAAATCTCATCAGACTAAACTATATTCGACGTAATATGAAAAATTCACTTAACACTTCTGAGAAAAAATTCGGCAAGACCAGCGAAGAGTAGAAATAAAAGTGAAAAAACGAGTTTCCACTAACATGAAACATTAGTAAATAATCTTTAAAAAGTATTAAATAAAAATAGACCTAAATGTGCTTAACAAAACCCCTATTTTCTTCAACAGTGAGCAAATTCAAGGGAAGGTAGGTAGCACATCCTTGAAACAACTTGTAAATATAAAATATGTAAAAAAATAAAAGCCCTTTTATCAACTTGATGAGGATCTTGAGAGTTACAACTACGCGTAAGTCTTTCAAGACTCTCTTTAAGTTAGGTAACTACAGTGTAAGGGGACATGCCCAGGATAAAATTTCCCGTATCGCAAATATTATTACATTGTACGAGTAAAGATATAAAAATAAAGATCACTATTATCTAAGATATTCAACCATCTATCGATTTTCGGCGATCATCTATCGATTGACCCATCGCTTGATCGATTCCTGCCACTCCATATCTTCGTCATCTGTTCGTTGGGTACCTTCGTCTTCGTCGGTTTGAATGTAACTCTCGTCATCCGTCATTTGAGATCGAGACGAGGTCTTGTAATCTCCTCGGCGAACGTTGAGGTCATCATCGTCAGTATCCGTATCGCCTTCGGAGCCTGTTCGTCGACCCTTCGGAGTCTTTCCGCTTCTGCTCGGACCGTGAAGAATAACTTTCTCCGATGGCTCCGTCATGACGATGTCTCCGTTGGTCAGGTTTGAATTTCCCCTGGCTTCCTGTGATTCCAGTGATTCCCTAATCTGATTCACTTGCTGTTCAAGAGCCTCCAGATCAGTGCCGTCTGTGTTTCCGTTGGCAAAATTCACAGCTTCATCTTCATCCTCTGTTTACAGAAAGAATATAACAAAATCAACGTTAAAGTTTGTCGAGTATTACTCAGTCCTGACATAAAAAAAAAGACAAAAAGCTTACGACAAAATTCGTTTCCGAAATATTCACAGCTCAGCGGATTTCAACCACTTAGTTGAACTAAAACTTATCTATATATTTTTAAGATAATACTAGATACCACGGCAAAAATGTCTTTAAGCTACATGAGGTGAAGGTAATTTTTATTTTCGCTAACAACTGCTTTAAGTTTTTCATGAAGTCTCTCTTTCCTATATCATTCGCGCTCCTCAGTTTAGTCCTCCCTTGATCCTTAAACCCCTTTAAGAGGTTATGCACATGTCATTTCTTCTGAAATGATGATCCATATCTTACAGCACTGAAATAAGTGATAGATAGAGAGAAAGGCGCAAAGAGGTTTCCAATTCTTCTAGTCAATTTACTGTGACATTAACAGGAGCACAGGAAGAAATAACCATCAAATCTTGAGAGGCTAGAGTTAAGGTTATTCACTCTGACCTTAAAGTGACCAAACTACTTCGTATCCATACAAAATCCATGAAAAAAACATTCTTGGTATTAACAACAACAACAACAACAACATTTATTTATACCAACAAGAAGGAAAAAGTAATACATAGATTTTGAAACTTAAGAGTAAGGTATTAGCTGCCTATAATAACCAAAGGCCCACACATACCAGAATTAAGTTCCCTAACGAGCGATGACATGGCACTGGTCACGTTGTCAGCAGCCAATAGCAGATCGTCTCTCAAGTTCCTTCCAGTGGCTCGGTCTCCAAACGCTTGCTTGATATCCCCATCTACCCCACTTAGCGGAGGAGGCTCCGATCGAAGGCCTGGTTCTTCAGCTGATGAGGACAAAGGAGACCTTCCAAAATCCAGAGGCGAACCTGGATCCTCCATTCTTTGTGCCTTAGGGCTGCGTGGTGCACGGGGTGAGCCGGCCTGAAGATCAATGCAAAACGGAGTTCAATGGCGAAGTTTTTCAAAAGAGCAGGTTACATGAAATAGGGTAACGCAATTTTTAAATCGAAAGAAATCCGATATTGCATAAGGTTTGCCCTCCTAGCTATGTGGTTGTTCAATAAAACTCGCGCCACTCTTAGCCAATCAAGTTTTGATTAAACTAATCGCGACAAATCACTCATATTTTCTCGTAGTAAGGGTTGTTTCAGTGTTTCTACTTCGATTTCTGAATGTTATCTTGTTAAGCGGACCTTTTCTCGAATTGGTCGTTTTTATAGCTGAACTTTTAGCCTAACCATACCTAAACAAAGTCGCTGAAGTCAGACGCCACCGAAATTTTGCCTGCTACGGGTCTAAAGAAAGTTCCCAGCCAATAACATCCCTTGCGATCCGCTCTCACGATTTGTTAGGTTTGTCCCGGTTAGCTCAATGGATAGAGCGCTGGACTGTTGTGCGGGAGGTCGAGGGTTCGAGCCCCGGCCGGACCAACACTCAGGGTCTTAAATAATTGAGAAGAATATGCTACCTTTCTAGAACATCAAGAAATGGTTAGATATTCTAGACTTCTCGGATAGGGACGAATAAATGGAGGTCCCGTCTCCTGCAGGGTTAGGGGCAGGAGACGTTAATTTCCCACGTACGAGATTACTGTGTGATGGATGTCCTCCCCTGGGGTGAGATGGGTGGTTAACAGGACCCCCGTTGATACCAGTGTTTACTACACTGAAGGGGCTATCCTGTATAAATATAGATGTCTACTTTACTCTGAGGGGGAAAACAGTCTCTCTGTCTCACTGTCTCCCTTGATAATTCATTCTTCCCTGTCCTTACGCGCGTTACATTGGAACTGAGTAAAATAATAGATGCCGCTCAGCAAAAATAGAGTCTTCCAGAAGGTTCCAGAATAATTCGTATCCATTCATACAAACATGCTCTCAGCAATTAGACAAAAGCCAAAACTATTTATTTATCCTTTGTTGCCTCAGAGTGAGATGACATGATTTACAACGCAACACTGCCGTACGACTTGAGACCAATTCAAGTCCGCCAATGTTTCCAAATCCAATATCCACCATGCAGAAATACATTACTTCGTGCACAAAAAGCCGGAGTGAAACTGGTTGTTTTATTTCATATTCTTAAACAGTTATGGGAGAGATTGGCATTTTTTTTGCGACCGCGAATACATTGCAAACATCGAGCTCCCATTAATTAAGTGCTTTTTACTTAAGAGGCTGACTCAAAGGAGATAAAGTTATATCGTAGTTAGGGCTTTACCTGATAATGCACGTACGCACATTGTGTACACAGAGCAATGCATGTTCCTTTTAAATTTTTGGTCATTAAGAATGACAACTGTAACATCTGTTCCCACGATCTCAACTGGCAATATCAACAAAGGAGAATTTAACAAAAAAGATTGACGCAGACAAATAACAAAAGCTGCCTTAGAAAAGAAAGCTATTTACACATCCTTTTTTTAGCTGGAATTCAACTGAAATAACGTAGGCGGATGCATCTCTCGCCATCCTTTTGTGTAAATCGTTATACAATCATATACACGTGCTAACATTTTCTCGTCTCAAAGATTAATTCAAAAACAATATTGATCTTCAGTTCAATTTTGTATAATAGCTGACTAATTTGTACCCAAAATAAAGAGAAACGACGTATTTTATCATTGTGGCGCAAGGGCGAATTTGAAAAATGTCTACAAGCGTATAACTGATACAAAGAAAACCATGTAATTGTGAGTAATTATATTATCGATAGAACAGCAGTATCAACAAGATCATAGTCCAGTTCGGTTTCATTCCTAATTAACTTGCTCCCTCGCTGAAGAAAGAGGTCTAATTTGAAAAATACAAAGCGATAAAAACTTAAAAACTGTCGACGACAGTATCACTATGCTGGTCACGCAAGAGGTAAAATACACCTTTCTTGTACATGACGCTACATGTCTCCATCATGAAACTATTCTGGCGCGTATAGCTGAGTGGACGAGAGAGTGTCACGTTCATTCCACTTTGAAAACACGTGATTGTCCTTGTGGTTTATTTTGAGGGGAGCACTTGGACTTTCAGTTAAGATGCCTGAGTATTGCTCCTGTGAAGTACAATGAGGTTTATATATAATGACATTTAATGAAACATTAAGAGAATTTATGGCCAAGTAAGGAGTTATTTCACTGACTTTAAAATCACTAGTTTTTGTTTGCAATTTTGTGGTATTATAAAACTCAATCACCAATTTCATAGTAAGACCGTTTCTGGTTTCCTTTACAAGATCCAGTAAGGAAACTCAGCTAGTTTGACTTTTTTAAAATACCTATGCACAGCTGACCTCGAGTCCTCGAATTTGAAAACGTCCGTTTTCGATGAAGAATCTCTAAACATTGCTGGCCTTTAAGTGAATTCCTATATTTGATCCTTCCACTGAAAGGAATGATTCAAAATAGCGCGACTCTTCGACATGGCGACAAAAATACACATGCTACGAGACAACAAAACAGACTATACCTCAATGGCGGAAATGACACAGACATTTAGAGGTACTGGACCATACAACTGAAAATCATACAACTGAAATCTCAACCGCCTAATGACAAATGGACAGGCTTTTGCAAAGGCGGAAAGCTCTAGGGTTTCTTTCAAAATTAAAAAATGGGATTTTATCCCTTTCATTTCCAACACCATTCATTGACTTTCTTTCAGTTTTATAACCTTCGCGGTAAGCTTAGCCGAGCTCAGTTTAAATACAGTTTGCTCAAAATTTGCTGAACTTCGACAGTTTTCGGTAACAAACATTTCGCGGAACAATTTATGGGGAAAAAAGCGGTCCTGGTGACAGAATGAGTCGAGCATAAGAAATATAAGTGAAATAAAGACTTGGTAAAATGGGAATTAACGGACTTTCCAAAATAATTCGCGCCAAAAATTTGCGTTATCTTAACACGAACTCCTTCATAACAAAACTAACTCCACACAAAATCAGTACTTAAAATATCAACAAACCATACCTTAAGAGAATTAAACGTGAAGGGGACTGCATCGTAAGAACACCCCCCAAACCCTGACAATGTCTTTGTCACTGTGCACGACACACATGGTGCTTCAAACACGGTAGAAAACTTCGCTAAAATATTTGTCACAACGAAAAAAAGCACAGCATACGACAACGCTTTGTAGTTGTCGCAAAAACTGACAATTTTTCTTAAAGAAATTGCCTTGGTTTCCATGTCGAAGTTGTTGCAGCACCAGGGAACTTAGAGAGATGTTTCCACTCAAGATTTTTTGCAAGCAAATAACAACTACAAATTGAAGATATTTAAATAGCAGTGGTTCTGCTGTGACGCAATTGACCGATTAATACAAAGTCTACGCCCCAGAATTATGTAAGCGATGCCGAGTACAGATAATCAGTTAAATAATTCGCGCAATATTGCGTTCTCGTTCGAAGCGAATATCCTACATCCGGTAACGCATGCCAGAGTTAATTTTAGAACGGTAAAATAGTGGTTTAGTGGGAAAAGTTGAACTGCTTAATTATTTTGGACCTTGTGTTTATAACTTTTTACCCCACCTAGCGCCATTCCTTACCTTACCAACTACAGTTAAGAACATAAATATCTTTAACAGAAAAAGAGAGCGCGCAGTCTTATAAATAACACTTCAACTCGGTGAAGATAAAACATCTGTTAATGAACAGCGAAACATCTCCAGGTGAAGGTAGGTAAAAATTCAAGTTTCGGCTCAAAAGAAAAAAAGGAACTTTGCTAAGATAAGTTTTAAACTGGAAAAATGCACTGGCAATTTATTCCTTTAAAGAATTGTAAACAGGAAAGCGCCAAAACCCCAGACATTTTTTAAAGTTTTCTTCGGATCATTTATTGCCTCTAAATTGACGATGCGTGACGAAGAAAGGGACCGCTCATAAAATATTGTAGAAAACGTGAGATGAAATGCGACCAAAAGGAAGTTACCACAAAAATTTGAGAACCGTCTCCGACAACAAATATTTTGGAGTAAGTTGGAGTTGTAGCTGAAGTTTTCTTGGAGTAAAGGTAGGTAAAATCTATACTCGATCCAAGTGACCGATCAAGCCCGAGCTTATCCCAGTTTCCCTGGCGTGAAGAGTAAACAGAGAAAATAACGTAAGCGAATCCGGAAAAGTCTTACTCAAAAAGGGATAGACCAGACCCTTTCTCAGAAACCTTACACTGGGGCTCAATCGGAAGAACACTCGAAAAAGTCCACGCATCGGTTATTTATTCCCATTATTACAAACTGTACCATCGATTCTTTATTATAACAACAAAGTTTTTCAACGGCTAATCTGAAAACTCTTAATTTCAATTTATTCCTTCTTCCTGAGAGTACACTCAGTTCAAGTTGGCTTTTACAAATCTCGTTTACATGGCGTCGTTAACATTTATCACTTTAGACAAGATAGAGAATACTAGAGATCCTAGAGCAATATCGATATAACATAATTCGTCAAACCAATATCAGTCCCATTATATCAAACCCTTTTTTAACTAATAAGCCTGTGGAATGCAAATGCGTTAATGTAACTAAAACTGATGAATGAAACATCATCGAAATAGTAGACCTATTTCTGACTTTCTTCCGATAAGCCTGTTTGTGATTGGCTAGCTTGAACTTCAAATTAAACGACGGAATGCGGTCATTACTAAGTGTCCCTTTTCTCTTAATTAGTTTGTCTGAAAACAAATCAGATCGAAGCCAGATGAGTCGCCCGATTCCTTTTGACTTTGCCGCTTTTCACTCGACAAAAACAACGCTGTCATCAAGAGGGTTTATCTGTTTTATAGACGGTATTTTAAGTAAGTAGCGGCTTTCGTCTTAAGCCATCGGCAGGTCTTAAAAAGAAGTGCAAAGCTGCATTTTAGATCGTTGAAACGGGTTGAAATGTGTCGTTACTATGTGATAAAATTTGACCCTCTCCATCCAAAGATT